TTTTTGCCAGATTCTTTCATTTTGAGTAAAAACACGTCGAATGAGTGTATTTTTAAGATTTTAAGTTATTATTAAGTTTTTGTTAAGATTTTAGCGTGCAACTCTTGGCTTATATATTATAGCAAAAATAAGACATTATTTCTTAAACTTTTTTTATTTATAATTTTTTAACGAGTGAAAGCCGATGGTTAAAGTTTTCTCAAGGTCACTCAGAGTCATGACCTTAACAACATATCAAGGACAAGGTCATTAAGTGGGATCTCCCCTAAACATCATATTTACCAACGTTTGTTTTGTAAATAATATGTTTTATGAAACATCAAATGTTATATATTTTTTTATTTTATTATAAAAGACAGCGAGTAAAATAATACAAATTTTTTAATCTATCTAATCTATTTCGTTTTCTATCATTTATAAAGAAAATGTTTTTAGTTAATTAACGCGGTCTTTTAGCCGACACTATAGCTAAGACCACAATATAAAAGTAAGATGATAACAACTTGAAGCAACATATTATAAGAGTTTAGAAAGAGTGGTGTGTCAATTTGTTTACTTCCTTGTCATCTGCAACTCAAACGTAGTGATATTGCGCATATAAAAAACAGGTATAATTGACAGCATGAATAAAAATGAAATAAAAAAAATAAATACATAAACTCAAAGCTGTTAGAAAGGTACAAATATCCAGTACAAATTTTTTTATATAAAAACATTATACTCTTATTTAGAAAATAAAAAATTCAAACACGTAAAATTTCAAACATCGATGAGAATAAGCCATTTACGGTCAAGCTGGATATTGAAAGTTTCTATTATAATTTTCGCGTGAATTTATATAATACGATGTAGATCTCCAAATGCGCGCCGAAATTTTTTCGGACTTACAACTCAAATCAATGAACTACCGCAGTACTATACAAGTTATATTAACAATTTTTCGATGCTTATTACATCTTGGATTTTGATAATACATTGAATGACCTATTAAAGTTTATGAATTTTTTTTTTATTTTTATATTTTCGTTTTTGTACGCCACTATGTATGGACATATATCGTTCATAAATACTTAATATTTATATATTGTGTGCTTTTATATAAAAAAATATTACCGGTTAACTCTAATCTATAATAAGTCATAAGATAAGTAATAAAGTTAAAAAGTTCAAGACCGACGATTGTTCGGCGCGCAATTTGGAGGGACTACGCATATTAGTATATAAATTCACGTGAAATTATATATTAGCAATTAAAGATCCAAGCTAAACTGTTGTAGGCTTCGTATTTGTATTAGTTATGTTCTTACATTAACGGTCTTTAGTATTGAATATTGTTTAAAAAGTTAATTTTTATCTTTCTTTCTCTCTCTCTCTCTCTCTCTCTCTCTCTCTCTCTCTCTCTCTGCCTTCCTTATAAACTTATTTAAAATTTATTAAATGGAGGAAGGCAGAGAGAGAGAGAGAGAGAAAGATAAAAATTAACTTTTTAAACAATATTCAATACTGAAGACCGTTAATGTAAGAACATAACTAAAAGGTAAAAGGTAAAAGTAAATTAAAGGTATACATTTAATTTTATTATATAAACTAATTAGGCTACAAACATTGAGTGTGGGAAAAAGTTCGTGGGGTTTTTTTTTTTTTAGTAAAATTCAAGTGTTTTTCTTAGATTATTAAAATCAATTTATTTAAACCAAATATATATATGTTTCATTATTTTCGATAATATTTTGCCATTTTTGGGGCAGAGACATAATCCCATCGCGATAGAGCTTCTGTGGTTTTTAGTCAAAAAACTATTTTAAGTTATTTTCACAGGCCTCTTTTGAAGCCAGCTTTACACAATTAAAAGAGTTCTGCAGAGACCTAAACAAATAATAATCTTAGGGTGCTATGTACAGTGGATGCATCCCAGCCAAGCTCTCGCAAAAGTCGAACTTTGTATGTACTAATCAATATATATATAATATTTATTAATTATATAATAAGAACTAATAATCACTATTCTATAACAAGAACTAATAATTACTAAGCTTATCTAAATTATATGTAAATATATAATTGTTACTCTTTTCTATACGTAATCATATAATTGTAATTATGTAAGATGTAGTTTTAAAATATATATAACTGGTTTGTTTTATTTAATTTTATTAAAATAATTATTCTATATGACTCTTACAACGTATCTTTTCTTTTTGTTTACGTTCATATAATTGAAACTTGTTTTTCACAATTAAAGTAAAAATACATTTCTATATAGCATTCGTTTAGTAGTTTTATAAAGTCTTACAAATAGAATATTAAATTTAATTGATAAACCTCAATGTTATTGCTTCTTATTCATAAGGCAACTTAAAAAAAATATCAAAAATTTACATTTAATTTTAATATAAATCATGCCCGTAATGTTAACATTTATTTATTCTGTTAATTTAATCTTAACGTAACATTAACTAAGTCAGTTTGTAGCTTACGTAATTTTTGATAATAATAAATTAATGTTATAGGTCAATACTTTAATATAACTTAAGTAAAAAAAAATTACCTTATACTCAATCGTGTATAAAATATACACAGGATTATATATATATATATATATATATTATATATCTTAAATTACATAAAAAAATAATAAAAATCATGGAAGGTAAAGAAACAGTTGAATCATGGAATGATATTCATTCCGGTGAGACGATCGTTATTTCTGGTATTGCTGGCAGATTTCCTCATTCAGATAACATGAATCAATTACGAGAAAATTTATTCAATAAAACTGATCTTGTAAGATCAGACCATAATCGATGGAAAATAGGTGATTAATTTATATTTATGTTTCTACATTATGTTTTTATATTTATACTGGATTGATTGATATTGAATATGCTATGCCTTCTATCTTAAAAGTAATTACATATTTATTTATCCATGAAGTTTACTACAAATAAAAATCTTCTATGAAAAGTTAAACACGGAATATTACAATTTTACGTAAATCTAGTTATGGAGCATGTAGAATTCCCAAAGCGTATGGGGACTATCAATAATTTAAAAAAATTTGATACGGAATTTTTTGGATTATCTTTTGACCAAGCACACATACTCGTACCCGAAACGAGAATGTTACTAGAACATACTTATGAAGCAATTATCGATGCTGGAATTAATCCAAACCAATTAAAAGGAAAAAATACTGCTGTAATTATAGGATCATCTATCATTGAATCACAAGTAACAATATTTGAAGATATTCAGGTAAGAAAATTTTCTCACTATATAACATACATGCGCGCGTGCGCGTCCGGACACACGCTCAAACATATATCTATATACATAAAAAGATTACTGATTTAATTGTTCATCTAAGAGAATTATGGGACAGCAAATTTTCTGCAATTAGTGTAACGGAATGACTATCATTGGAACTCCTAAATCTACAATGGCTAATATGATTTCACATTACTTCGATCTGAAAGGACCATCTTACACCGTTGATACAGCATGCAGTTCCAGCATTCATGCTATGGCCATTGCTTATGATTGTATCATGTCGGGCAAATGCGAAGACGCCATAGTTGGATCTGCACAATTATCTTTTTATGCAAATTTAAACCTGCAATTCGCTCGACTTGGTATTTTTATTATAAAATATTAACTTTATTTGTATTAAAACTTATTAGTCTAGTAATACGATATGCATGAAATTTAGTTTTTATAAAAAAATAAACAAATAAACTATAACGAGCTATGTAATTATGATAAAACGTTTCTAATAAATATAATTTCATCACAAATGAAAATATTAATTTTTTTAAGTAAATGCAAATTAATAGGACACCAAAAATGCATGCTTTAAATTTTCTATCTTTCAGGTGTTTTGTCACCCGATGGTTATTGTAGACCATTTGATAGTGCTGCTAACGGTTATGCGCGTAGCGAAACAGTGGCAGTAGTATACCTTCAAAAAGCGAAAAATGCTAAAAGGATTTATGCCATGTTTCCGTACATTAAATTAAACTGTGATGGCTACAAACAAGAAGGAATAACATATCCTTCATCACAAATGCAATATAACTTATTAAAGGAATTTTACGAAGAGTACAAAATACCGCTGTCTTATTTAGATTATGTCGAAGCACATGGTACCGCTACCATAGCTGGCGATCCTCCAGAAATTGACGCTATCTATAATGTTATGTGTAAAACTAGAGATACTCCATTAATGATCGGCTCCGTAAAATCCAATCTTGGTCACGCTGAATCTGCGAGTGGGTTTGATCAGATTGCTAAGGTAAAATAAGTGGATTCCGCATTTATACATATTATAAAGTTTACTTTTTCATAAATCTTATGCATAGCGTAAAACGTACATATATATAAAGCGTATAGGTACATATATAGAGCGTCTGATAATTCCTGATACAATGATCATATGCAAACAGAACGGACGGTTTAATGTGATTCTTTCCTTCACTGTCATTTTATTAATATTTGTTTTATTTTTCATGTCAGTCCCCTTTTAAAAAGTTAATTATTTATTGCCCAAGTAGATAATTATAATTAGTCATTACACATTTTGTAAATTAGTTCATATTCACACTTTAAACTTATTATAATTATTCAAGGTCATAATAGCATTCGAAACTGGATTCGTTCCACCAAATATCAATTACACATTACCAAGGAAAGATATAGATGCTTTGATTGATGGTAGTATTTGTGTGGTTCAAGATCCAATGCCACTTCAAAATGGTTACGTAGCAATCAATAATTTTGGTTTTGGAGGATCCAATGCTCACATGTTACTAAAGTGGAATGATAAACAGAAACTGAATAACGGAGCACCAAATGATGACTTACCTAGGCTTGTTGTATTATCTGGACGTACTGAAGAATCAGTGAAACTGTTTTTAAATGACGTTAGTATTGATTCCTCGGTAAATGTATATTTTAAGTTATACCACACCAATTTGAGTGTCCTTTAAATATATTGAAAGGAACAGTGTGCTGAGTAACCATCCTCAAAAATTAATTAGGGAACGGCATTGGTTTAAGAGATATAATAAATTAGAGTTTTATAATCAGATCATACAATTTCTCACGAGAAAAGGGATGCACTACATCTACTCCTCCTCTGCTTAATGGCGTTCAACTTCCTATGTGAATCGAGATCCACTCTATCACTTCTCTCGGAAAACTAATAATAAGATATTCAATACTAATTGTAAGTATACCTACGTACGCGGCCAACTGAAAACGATCGATATGTTTACCCGAAGTAATTAAATAGAAATTGAGGGTTCAATTAGGATCTAACCATCATGTGATTTTTTTCTGGCAAACATAACTCTTCTTGGTCAGAGTTATCTGAATCTTCATATAAAGCAGGGAAATCATTAAAATAAATAAAAGAGGAATAAAAATAAAGTTTTCTTGAGATATAAAGAGAGTAAATGATAAACAACAGACAATCGAGAGTCTTAATATGCGGCAAATAGTGCACTTATATTTTCAAAAATAACATTTTTCATATGTTACATAACTATATCGAACAAACGTTTAGGTTTACGTCGAGCCATCTTCAGCAGTGTTGGATACATCAGGGAAACAATAACTATAACTCTTGATAACTTTTTAACGAACAACGATCAGTGACGGTCAAAGCTTGTTTGAGGACACTGGGAGTTATGACCTTGACAACATATGTCAAGATTAAAATCATTGGGAAAAGGAGTGGTTTCATAAATAATAAACTACTGGAGAAATTTAATTTATTATATCTTCCAAATCTAAACGAATGCCACCTTCCGTTTAACTCTTGTACAGAATCACTCAGGACAGTTTCCCCTACAACATATCTGAGGAACATTTAAGTTACTAAAATGTAACCTACGTATAAAATACATTTATCGATTTTTTAGAAATATTTCGATTTTATTTTCGGCAATTATAGATACTATGTTTCAATTAAAATAAAATTTATTGTAACAGATTGCTAACCATCCAATAGATGTAGAATATATTGGCTTATTACATCAAATCCATGCAGACAATATAAATAATCATCCATGGAGAGGATACATTATACTGAATACCTCTCAAGAAGATTTAATACAGGAAATAGAAAATTATGAGGGCGTGAAAAGGCCTGTATGGTTTATATTTTCAGCCTTAGACTCTCAATGGCCAGGAATGGGTACATAATCAATATTTCATATCTCAATAATAATACACGAGTAATTTAAATTACAAAAAATGATACAATTTAAAATATATCTTCCTAACAGGTCGAAACTTATTACAGTTTCACGTCTTCGCAAAAGCAATAAGAAAATGTGACAATGTTTTAAAACCGTATGGTATAAGTGTCTTAGACATTTTGACAAAAGACGAAGAAAACATACGTAAAAATGCGATAAACGCTTTTCTTGGAATCGTTGCTATTCAGGTAAAGAATTTATTATTCTTCATAATTATAGGTAAGTATCAATAATACTTTATGTATAAGTAGGACACACGATAAGTATACGTATTCCTTCTTTTTTATGTTCGGCTACATTACAACCAAAATACTAGATGTATCACCTTTGGTTACCTGATTCATCATATCTTATTATTGAAAAAAAAACTAATAATAAACTTTTTAAATATAACGTTTAAATTAAAGTTATTTGTATTCATTTACAGATTGGTTTAGTAGATCTCCTAAATTCTTTAGAAATTATTCCGGATTACATGATTAGTCATTCCGGCGGTGAACTTGGTTGCGCGTACGCAGATAAATGCCTCACCATTGAACAAACTATTTTATCAGCATATTTTATCGGTACAATATGTGCCGAAAAAACAATAATTCATAGTTCGATGGCGATTGTCAACATAGACTACGAATATCTCAAAAATAAATGTCCAGCAGATATTGAAATAGTGTGCCACAATAGCGAGAATAGCTGCGTCGTGTGTGGATCAAAAGAATCCATAGAAGGATTCATGAAAGAATTACAGGTAGAATTTGAAATGACTCGTATAAGTTAGTGCATAAAAAATGCTTCAGTTTTTTTTTCAAAACACAGAAAAATTAAATCGTGACACAATTCGCTGCAAATTCATGTGTTGCATCTTTTCGTAATCAGGTCAACAATATTTACGTGAAGGAGATCAACTGCAACATACCGTTTCACAGTTCGTACGTCGCATCCGCGGAAAGACAGCTTTTGCTTAGTTTGCATAAAATAATACCACACCCCAAAAAACGAAGCTCAAAATGGATCAGCACCTCCATACCTCGAAACGAATGGTTTACATCATCATCAAAGTTATCATCGGCGGTCTATCATTCTCGAAGTATATTAAACACAGTTTTATTTCATCAAACAACGGATCTAATTCCACGTAACGCTGTGGTTATCGAAATCGCACCAGACGATGTTCTGCAGCACGTTTTAAGTGAATCTTTACATCCAAACGTGACAAACCTTGTGTTAACTAGAAGCACCACACAAAATGTTGATATTTTTTTACAAGGAATAGGGAAGCTTTATAATTGTGGTTTACAACCGCAAATTGCCAAATTATACCAACCAGTACAATTTCCAGTTAGCCGAGGAACTCCTATGATTTCTCCGTCAATTAGGTAAATATTATGATCATAATCGTAACTTAGATGATGTTTACAATGTATAAGAATAATGTTAATACGTATAAATGACCTATATATACAAAGTGAGTCATTTTAATCGTCTCAGGCGAATATCTCAGAAACTAAGAAAGATACAAGAAAAAGTTTTATATAAAAGTTGTAGGTTTTCTTGAGAGAAAAAAGGTGTAACTGACGGATTTTGGATAGGATGCACTACCAAGGTCAGGTCAAGATCCACATGAATTTTTTAAATGGAACCCCCTATTTTTTATTGTATTTTCTTGTAGCACATCTTGAGAGATTTCCAAAAGATTATAATAAAATATTTTTTCATCAAATAATTTTCGTGTTATAAGGCTTGAAAGTTACAATATCGCTGGTATCAAAATTACCCAAGGTGTACCACGTGAAGATTACTTAGTCAGATTTAATCTCTTGTGTGCATACGTTCGTATATGCGTGTAATGGTGATGGGAAAAGGGAGTCAAAGTTATGCGTACTCTCTTGTTTTTGTTTCTGTTTGTTAACTGGACTGATTATGTTTGATGATCAATCAGCTTCAGATTGACTGCATGCATTTTCCCGTGCTTAGCATTATCCAGGATAAACGACGTGAACGTGACGGGTATTTCATTCCATTGGGGTGCTTGATTTACATAAGTCCTCTTGCTTCTCACGTGCGTGCTTATGAGCGCTCGCGTGCGAATGTGCTTCAAGTTCACATTATATTATTTATAACAATTCTTCGAATGTGCCTCCATTTACGGTGATACACAACTGAATTCGCTTTCTAAATGTTGAAATTGCACGCACAAGAGAGGCAAAGGTACTCACGTAAATCAAGCACCTTGTTGGGATGAAATCTCCGTCACGTTCATGTCGTTCATCCTGGATAATGCTAAACATGGGAAAATGCATGCAGTCAATCTGAAGCTGATTGATCATCAAACATTATCAGTCCAGTTAACAAATAGATCTAGATCAGAGTACGTGTAACTTTGATTTCTGTTGCAGAATGCGTTTTTGGCAGTGGACTTATGAAATTAAAAAATAATTCTATGTCCTTGATCGCAACGATTGTTCTTCGTGTTTGCTCGCGTCGGACAATGAAGCTAATTAGTAATTTTACAATTTGCTTTTTGTTTTTTGTTTCTTGCTGTTTGTCTGTTGTCTTCTTGATCAAAAGGGTAAGAGACAAACAGAGACAAACAGCAAGAAACAGGAAACAAAAAGCACATTGTAGAATTAGCCTGAGTGCGCTGTTCTTGCTGGCCTTCTATACGCGGCTTGTAATTCACAAACTTTATCTTTTAATAATTTAAAAAGTAAGCGTCAGATAAAATTTTCGTAAAGGAAAAATCGTCTCAAATTTCACTCAGGAACACGTCTTTGCAAGGACACGGGGTCGTTTTTAATCACCCTGTATATACATACACAGGGGCAATAATTTCTTTCACCTTGGATATCTCGGCTATATTTAGAGATATGAAGATATTGTATTACAAAAGTTGAAATTACAAAGTTGTACAATATCAATCTAATATATGATGGTTATAACTTTTTTAGGTGGAGGCGCTTCGGAGATTTCAAGGTCATCTCCATTTATTTTAATAGTATGCTTTTTTAACCTTAGTGTAATAGCGGGTGTTTAGAGACATTCAACGATCTATAATAAAAGAGGTTATTCGTCATTAAATGAAGAATTAAAACAATGATTCTTATGTTACAAGAAAAAAGCTCGAAGTGATGTCCGATTACATCAATGCAACACTGTAATCGTTGATTCTTGAAACATATACACTTTTTAACATTTCCGGACAGATTGTCGCACATGCTGCGATAATTCGTTGTTTCGTATTTTCCAGCAGGATCGGCATTTCCTCTGGTATACAATGTCTTTAATGTTCCCTATAAGAAAAAGTCAATCGATGTTATGTCGAGTGAGCTTGCCACGGAATCGGCCTACCGCGTATAATCCACTGATTTAGGGAGATTTCGTTGAGTGTAACTCTTACTCTACGTCCATAATGTACGGAGCATCCATCATGTTGATATCAAATTACTTGCCTAATATTCAACTGTATATTTTCTAATAAAATTCCGAGATCATTGAATATAAAGTTATCATATTTTATGCTATTAGGTAAGTGCTCCGTTGATGAAATATATTCCGATTAATTTATCGTGTATGATATCGCACCATATACATATTTATCGATCATTGTCGTTGATGATAAACTTCTGTAAGAGCTGGGCCTAGAAAAAATGTCGGACGCTAGAACGCGATGCCGGGACTCGAACCGAGGACCTCGTAGTAGTTCGTGTTCGTACTAGCAAGTCACCACCGTCTTGCCGCGGAGCCCGACGGATAGGACGTTAGTTTATTTCCTACACTTCTCTTAACCATTGCGGATTCTCATCTAATCATAATCTATATTATTTTAAATTTACAAGACCATAATTAGTAAAGCTTGCTTGCTTGATGAATAATATTAATGAAAGAAATTCTTTATTTAATGACGTATAACCTTTTATTATAGATCGTTGAAATCCTCTAAATTTCCGCCATTACACTAAGGTTAAAACAGTGCAGCACACTATTTTAAAAAAATGGAAATGATCCTGAAATGATTCTGAAGTGACTCCATCTAAAAAACTTATAACCATCATATATTATGTGGTCCTCTTGATACCGTACAACTTTTGTAATTACAATCATATTTTCATATCTATAAAAATAGCGGAGACTTTCAAAGTGAACAAAGTTATTGCTCCACCATGTATAAATAATTCAATATAATTAAAAAATGATTATATAACTGTACAATAACAAATAATATAATGAAATATATTTTTGATAAGGCTCAATAAATTTAAAAATAATGAAAAAGAAAAAGAGCTGCGAGCCAAAAATTCGTTAAATAATATATTGATTTTTTTATATATATGAAAACAATAATGTATATGCGTACGTAAAAGAATATTCACATATAAATAAGAATTGTCATGATTCAGATGGGATCATTCTGAAAATTGGTATGTACTGAAGGAAAAACAAGACTTTATAGAATCCAAAGAAAGATACGTCAAAATTTCGCTCGACGACGAATACTACAAATATATGAGCGGCCATGTAATCGATGGAAGAAATTTGCTACCCGCCACAAGTTACTTGTGTCTCGTTTGGGAAACAATTGGCATGATGAAAGGATTGATGTACACAACAATACCGATAGTTTTCTATGATGTAAAATTTATTCGTGCTACCCATTTGTCGAAAAATGATGATGTAGAACTACATATTTCAATACAGACAGGTATTATACAAGAAAAGTGATTTTAATTATAATCGGTATTTTCTTTGAAATTCCACAACAGCAGATTGGTAAGTATGCATTTTAGGTGACACCTTACCAACTTCTATGTTTTAAATATATTGTAGGGGAGAGTACCCTGAGTGATACCTTACAAGAATTAAATGGGAGATGGCACTGTTTTGAGAAGATATAGTAAAGTTGTATAATGTGTAGAAGATAAGATTGTCGTAATAGATATATTATGAACAGTAAAATTTGTATATGCTGTACTAAAATAATGTAAACAACAAAGACAGAAAAGGTTATAGAAAGTTACAGGTGTTGTATAAACGGTCGATGTAGTTCTCACAGTTTGGTATAATACCCTACTGAAAAAAATCACATCACGAAGTTACATAACGAAATCATGTAATTAAAACAAGTAAATTACACAATAGATGGTTTCAAATCATTACCTTATTTTTTAAAATCACGTAATTTGAAAAATAATATGATATTAAAAATAATTTCATCTGTTATGTGATTTTATAGTTATCGAATTTTAAAGAATTAAATAATAAAATTAAAAAGAAAAAACATATTATTGTGTGACTTTTCCAATTACGTGATTTAAAAAAAATTACGTACTGATTTGGAACAATCCGTAATTTACCCGTTTTAATTACATAATTTCATTATGTAATTTTGTGACATGATTTTTTCAGTAGGGTAGCTGTCAATATGTGACTACACGAACTTCTAAGCTTTACAAATTGGAAAATCAAAAGTTTAACATGTTCTTATGATATTCCATGTATAGAAGGAGCATGGTTACTAGGTATCCAGATTTCGATTGGAGTCTCCAGTTTTCGAGACCAATTTTTAAGCCCACGGAAAGATCTTCCGCGTGGGGTACTCATTAATTCCACTATCTAATGATTGTGATTGTGTTAACACAGTATGTTGATCGATTTCTTTGGTATACTTTTTTTACAAACAATTGATCAGCCTCCAGGTAAAACATGAAACCTCCAGCGCACGGATACAACCGTGCATTGCACAGGACCTGACAAACGTGAACAAAAGCCACCCCGCACAAAAAAATGGGTTACGTTAAGTCAGTTTTTTCAGTAATTGAGACGCTACGTAGGGGAGATGGGGCGGAACGTTTTGTATCCATCATTATTGTATCCACCCATACACTTAACAATGCGAGGGTCACCAATTTATTATATACAAGAATTCATACACATAATATAATAACGCTTTAAAAATGTTCTTTATAAAAGTATGTGTCCAAATCTGTAAGGAACAACCGAATAATTTATAAGGAAAACTTAGTCAGTACCTTCATCTCCATAACATATCAAAATTATAAAAGAGGTGTCTCCTGATGTAAAAATTTACTAACGTTAATTGATTATATCTCCTATATCAATGCCATCTCCCACTTAATTCTTATGAAAAATCAATCAGGACACTTTCCCCTACAACATATCTAAAAGACATTGAAATTGATGAAGTGTCATGTAAAATGCATAATTACTCACCAGATACCTCAAATAATTGTATAAATATGTATTACAATACAATTATTTGCAATGAAAATGAAAAAAAAATGTCGGAATACGATGGATTAACGAATGATGATTACGATTAATGTAGTACAATGGATAATATTACAGATGGGAAGTTTGAAATAACCGAAGGAAATAGCGTCGTTGTCACGGGTACAGTGTACGAAACATTGAATCCAGAACAAGAAATGATTCCGATAGATCTATTACCGGAGGATAGTGATGAAGATGAAGTCATGACTGTAAGAGATATATATAAGGAGTTGAAATTGCGAGGATATCAGTACAAGGGCTTATTCCGTGGACTAAAGAGTGCCTCTATTTCGGGAACCCAAGGTCATATCGCATGGAAAAATTGGGAAACATTTATGGATACTATGTTACAGATGCTAATTATCGGATATGACACTAGGGATTTGTGTATTCCAACGGGTATTCAAAAATTAGTGATCAATCCGGTGCTTCATGCTTCGAAGCTGCGAGATGTGATAGATAATTCAGAAGTTACAACAAACATGGATAAATGTAATTGATCCTCCTTTACTAAAAGTTCTTCGTTTAGTTAATAAATAATATTTTAAAAAGATATCCAAATATGATATAAAGCATATTATTTTACTTGTCGCATTATAGTATTACAGGTACGAATATACAAAGAGATAAACACGATAAAAGCTGGCGGAGTAGAAATTCGTGGTCTTATAGCTACTCAGATCTCTCATCGGAAATCAGCTCAAGATGCTGTTGTCGAGGAAAATACGTTTGTAGCTCACTGTGATCGCGCCAAGATTTCTTTGAACGAAGCAATTCGAATATCAGCTCAACTCGTACTGGAAGATCATCAAATCATCAAAGTGCAAGTCGCTGAATTAGTGGCAGATGTCGATGATGTTAAATTAGAATGTCTTTCATCTTCATTGCTTCTCGAGGCATTTGGTGACATGCCACTTATACAAGCGAATATCGCACTATTAACGTCACCAAATCGTTTTAAGACAGAAGAGTTACCGCAAAATTTCTCAATTAAAGACTTTGAAAAATTATCTTTAGACGACAAAACCTTAATTGTTGCTGGATTCAACCTTTTGACCAAACAACGCGAATCGTTAAAGAGACTGTTACCATTTCTGAGAGAGAGTGGTTATCTGTTGACGCGAGAAAAATGCGACATAACTGATTATAAAAAATATTTACAGCAATACGAACTAAACGTTATTCTCGAAAAACTAACCGATACAGAACTAATTTTGCTTCTGAAAAAAAAAGTATTTATAAAAGAAAGAATAGTTGTTCACATAAGTAACGATAATTTCAATTGGCTGGAAAATCTAAAGCCACTTGTGAGCGACGAGAACAAACTTAATAGAAACACTAGAATTATAATCGTTGGAGAGAAAAACTTCGAGTGCGGTTTATTGGGTTTTGTTAACTGCTTGAGAAAAGAGCCGGGTGGACAACTTGTTAGGGGTGTGCTTGTTCAAGATGAAGAAGCTCCCAAATTTTCCCTTCAAGATCCATTTTATTTAGAACAACTACAGAAAGACATGACCATTAATGTCCTACGATCGAATAAAACTTGGGGATCTTACAGACACATAAAATTGTCACCAATGGAAGCGCAACTTGTACCAACAGCTCATGTCTGTCAAACGGTAAATACAAATTTTAAATAACATATCGAATAGTATTACAATAATATATTAGATAGATATTACTATAATATTTAGCTTTTAAATGCATGATTCTATTTGTCAGATCATCGATTATTGTCACCAAAATTCTTTTTTTTATCCATTATGTCACAATACAAATTTTATTTCTTCATAGGTTCGTGGTGATTTAAGTACGTTTCGTTGGATAGAGAATAATATAGCAGGCATATCTCGCTGTGAGAATTTGGTGCACGTGGTTAACTCATCCCTGAATTTTAAAGACGTAATGCTCGTCACTGGTAAAATAACAATGCCAGAGACTATTTCACAAGGACGTTTATTTCAGTATCTTCCTCTTGGATTGGAGTACGTGGGTATTGATGCTTATGAACAACGTGTAATGGGTATTCGTGATACTGAGTAAGTAGTGCTACAAGAAATTAATATGCTATTACGTCATTGAGTGAACAGTATGTAAAAATTATTTTTTCTAGTTGCATAGCAAACGTTGTTGAAAAGGATGAATGTCTTTCTTGGAAAATACCCGATGAGTGGACATTTGAAGAGGCAGTAACGGTCCCATGCGTTTACACTACGATTTATTATGCCTTATATTACTATGGAAAAATGAAAAAAGGTGATAAAGTACTTATACATTCTGGTACTGGAGGTATTGGACAAGCAGCTATTCATGTTGCTCTTAAAGAGGGATGTGACGTGTTTACTACCGTTGGCACAAATGACAAACGGGACTTCATTAAGAAAATGTTTCCGATCATTCCGGATGAACATATTGGAAATTCTCGAGATACAAGTTTTGAACATATGATTATGCGACAAACGAAAGGTCGCGGCGTCGATATCGTGCTAAATTCATTAGCGGAAGAAAAGTTGATCACCTCTGTTCGGTGTCTAGCTCAAAACGGACGATTCTTAGAGCTTGGCAAATTCGATATTGTTTCTAATAATCCCCTAAGCATGTCTGCATTTCAGAAAGGTATAAGTTTTTATGGAATTAGATTGGAGAATGCTATGAAAAGAAAAAATGCTTGCGAAACGAAGCGTTTATTGTTTTCAATGGTACAACATGGTTTAAAAAATAAAACAGTTAAACCAATTCAAGCAATATTTTTTCCAAAAACTGATATTGAAGGAGCTTTTAGGTATATGGCAAGCGGAAAACATACAGGAAAGGTATGTTTGTGCTGACAAATACAATAATAGCAGAAAGATTCATTCGTAAATAACATACATAATCCTATTCATGTATAGCAGACATTTTTGAAATATGATTATTTTTATAGATAATTATAAAAATCCATGAAAAGGATGAACCTTTGGATAAACACATTCTCGCGTATCGTCGTTATTATTGTAAGAGAGATAGGAGTTACATTATACTAGGAGGTCTGGGCGGATTTGGTTTAGAATTAACCGATTGGCTTATATTTCGTGGTGCCAAAAACATCATTCTTATTTCAAGAAATGGAATAAAAAATGGTTATCAACGCATGAAAATTCAACTATGGAAGTCATATGGCGTTAACGTTCTGGTCATCAAGAATATCGATGTTTCTGACCTTAAAGACTGTGAATATCTCTTACGGACTGCGGAAAAAGAAGCTCCGGTGGATGCTATATTCAATCTTGGTGTGGTGCTAAAGGATGGGGTCTTCAAAGAACAAACAGTAGAAACATTTACAGAGTCCTTCCAATCGAAGGCTCGTGCAACGCAAATGCTGGACAAGCTTTCTAGAAAGATCTGCCTTAATCTACGGCATTTCGTAGTGTTTTCTTCCGTTTCCTGTGGCAGAGGAAACGTTGGGCAGACTAATTATGGCATGGCCAACTCCATCATGGAGAGAATTTGTGAGAAGAGAGCAGAGGAAGGATTACCTGGATTGGCGATTCAGTGGGGAGCTGTAGGTGACGTTGGTCTTGTCGCTGACATGCAGGAAGACGATAAGGAATTAATTATCAGTGGCACTCTACAACAAAAGATATCCTCCTGTCTCAATGAGTTGGATAAGTTTTTACTTCAAAGTCGACCTATTGTGAGCAGCATGGTTGTAGCTGAAAAAAAAGTAGGATGTCACGGAAGTCCGGTAGAAGTAGTTGCAGGCATTTTAAGTAAGTGCTTCTATGAGGATTTTTTTCCAAATACACTCTACAGCGAAAATAAGGCATCTCCTATCCTGCCCCCTAAAATTAGGCAAATTTCAAGAATATAATTTCGTCAAAAGTTGTCATTAAAAAAATTTGTTTTAAAGCATTGTACAACTTGATATTTTTATTTTCAAAGATGGTAATCGATATTTCGATTTAATTTATTCTTCACGGAGTTATGCGACACAAAAGTGCGTCAAAACTAAAAAAAAAATCAATAACTTTGTTAAATTCCATGGCGTGAATCAAAATTCGCATAAAAATGCAGTTGACAACATTCAAAATCGTGAATCTTTATCTTTAATTTGCTTTTTTTACCTATATATTTTTTTCATCAATTTGTTCAAGCAAAAATGGTCCTTTTTCTCTAGTATTTAATAACTTGGTGAAAAAATATCGTACAGAGAATGAATTCATACATTAGGCCTGTTCTTTTTGGCTAAACTTTTGTGCCAGTTCGTCTTTTTTCCTTTTTTTTTCCTGGAGACAAAAGGAGGAAGGGTGAACTAGTGCAAAAATTCAGTCCAAAAGGACATAAAAGAAAATATAACATTCGAAACATATAATGACTAAAATAATACAAATAATACAAACGTTTCGATTCTGTTCGGGTCATTTTCAATGTAACAATAAAATTTAAATTAATAGTCGCAAATTGTATGAATTGTGTAATGTTGTTACGTGTCAATAATTTAAGATAATTGTTAAAAAAAATAGTACTGTAGGAAGATTGTGATATTTATAAAAAATCGGTAATAACAGAAAATTAAATCAAATTTATTTTAATACAACTGTTAGTACAAAAGTAATAAAAATACTTTGTATTAAATTAATATTGGTCAATTGACAATAAGAAAAACGTCTAAATCTTAAAATCCACATCTTGGTAACGGAATCTTTATGTCAGATTTTGGAACAAACTTGTAATTAGTGTACAAGTTGGATAGTACTTTAGGCAACGTTAGATAAAGTAATGTCAGGAAGGAATATGTATGTTTCGGAAGGACGATATTAAGGGGGGAAATTTAGGCGAGTGAAAAAGAGGCAATTTTCCTGAATTTTTTTTTTTAAGAAAGGATCATCTGATTATTTTGATACTTATGATATAGTTTATTGTTACTTTCTATATTAACATATTTTTTTTGTTTGAAAAAATTAAAAAATGGCGGAGTTACAGTACAGTGTGTGCCGAAGGTCTCGAAACGAATTACCAAATGGCGGGATTTCTCAAATTTTTTGTGGTGGTCTGAAACAAAAACGCAAAAGAGGTATTATTACTAACATTCATAATTTCTCTTTAAACCTAAAAAAAGTGAAAAAATTTGAAAATTGAAGAAATTACATGCTTATTAAAAAAAAAGAAGGAATTTTTAGCAAAATTTTTGCTCAATTTTGCTCTGAAAAAGTATTTTATAACAATTATTTTGTTATACTTTCAGGTTTAAGTAGAAACTATAAGTATTATTAATATGTGTATCAAAATTTAAAGTGATTGGTGCAATAGTTTTTGAGTGACATTTCCCGCCAATTTTGAAAAAAGGGTTTTGAGGAAAATGAGTTTAAAGTTTCGAGTAGTAAAAAGGTAATATTTTCATCAACTTACCGGTTAGTCAGCAATCCGAAATAACAGTACAAAGATTTAAAAAAAAGGGATTACAAAAAACAGGTTTTCCTATTCCAAGCGCCCGAATATACTTGCGCGTTCCGGCGTGGAGCGAAGATGTGTCATAGGTTATAACTTCGAAAATACTTAGAATTTTGCTCTAAAATTTCGTGTACATATTTTTAAGATATGGTACTTTCATCTTATGAAATAAAAAAATTTTGCATTTTTTGAAAATTCTAAATGGATTTCAGAAGGGGAAATTTCGAGTATGATAGAAAGGGGAAAGAATCTGTATGATGCCTGAATACATTACTGGTAAAGAATCAGTGTCATTCTGTTTATTAGTACCAATAATACCATATTTCTGTTTTTTATATGTAGATACCATTTCTGTTACTAATCTCTTATTATATGATGGTTGTACATCCAAAATTTCCATTTTGTCCCATTTAAAGATATGATTTTTTTCTATGCGGTGATTGGAAATAACTGACGGAGATTTTGATCTTTTATTAATATCAGAAATATGTTCATGTACTCTTGTCTTCAATCTCTTTGTTTGCCCAGCATAACTGATATTACAATTGTCACAAGAAGTTTTGTAAACTTTATTATTACAATATTTTGATTACGCTTTTGAGGCTTTCATGGGTATTCTCTTCAATTATACCAGGAGGTTTGCGGGTTATCGCCGTGTCTTTCTTCATTGTTAATGCCAATAATATTTTGATTAAACATCGGATCCAACTGATCCTTTCCTCTTTTTATAAATTTCTTTGGAGTGTTCAGAATAGAATATGCTAATTTCCACCTACACGTGTTAGCTATTGGAGTAAATTTCTCAGAAATTGAATTGACATATGGAATTGTAAAAAATTTATTTGAACCTTTTTATTAGAATATTTTATTTATTTTTTACTTATTGGTTTTAACCTTTTTATTAGAATTTTAACCTTTCTATTAGAATCATTGTTATTATTAATGTATTTTAATCTGTGTATATAATAGTTGAAAAGATGAATGATAAATTTTGCTGAAATTTTGGATCACACAGACGAATTATTTTATCAACAAAACCATATATTACACCTTTCTTATGACATGATGGATGATGTAAATGAAAATTCAGGAATCTGCCGGAAAAAGTTGCCTTGCGATATCCATCAAAAATAAGTCTCGGGGTTCATTTAAAATTAATAAAGTGTCTAAAAAACTTAATTTACCATCTTTGCCAACCTCCATAGTAAACTGTATTCTGGTGTGTAAGGACTTAAATTTTTAATAGAAAAATTTTTTTGAAAGTTATTTCCAACCACCGTACAGAAAAAACCATATCTTTAAATAGGACAAAGTGGAAATTTTAGATATAGAATCATCATATATTAAGAGATTAATATCAGAAATGGTACATATAAAAAAACAGAGACACTAATTGTTTGCCAGTAATGTATTCGGGCATCATACAGACTCTTCCCTTTCCTAACAATCTCGTGATTTTCCCTTCTTATTACCATTTTTCCAAAGCATGCATGTTCCTTCCTTTGACATTACTTTATCTAACATTGCCGAGAGTACTATTCAACTTATACCAACTGCAAGTTTGTACCAAAATCTAACATAAAAGCTACGTTCCTAAGATTTTAAGATTTAAACGTTTTTTCTATCTTTGGTTGACCAATATTTATTTAATACAAAGTATTTTTATTGTTTTTGTACTAACAGTTGTACTAAAATGAATTTGATTTAATTTTTTGCGTATAGACCAGACATAGCTCCTTCCGATTATCATTTATTCCGGTCAATACAAAACATCTTGTCCGATGTACTCTTTCGAGCATTTGAAGAAGTGCGAAAATGTGGATAATTTTATCGCATCGAAAGATGAAACTTTCGCTTGTGGAATTCGCAATTTGCCCGAAATATGGCTAAAGGTCATAGATAATGACAGGAATTATTTTGATAATTAAATGTTTTCGTTTTTAAATATAAATAAATATTAAATTACATTAAAAACGCTTTAAAACTTATTTGTACACCTAATATATATGTGTTAATTTAACATCTCTTTGTCAAATTATCTTTGCCCAACTGTCGGTTTTACATTTTTATATTATTTTATATATTTTGTATTTGTTTAAATATATTTTATATTTTTATGTTGTATTAACATTGTAAACTAGAAATTCATTTCATAAAAAAATCTTATTACCACTCGATTTAGGCCTTTTTTTAAATGAATTTTATTATATTTTATATTGTATTACAGACATAAGCAACATAAAGGCTATACATCCAAATACATCTCTAGCTGAACTTGGAATGGACTCCATGATGGCCATAGACATCATGCAAACTCTGGAACGAGAATTTGATATATTTATTACTGCGCAAGAAATGCGAAATCTCACTTTCGCAAAACTCATTAAGATGTCTCCTACAAGCGATGACGATAACAAAAATAATAAAAACGTATTCCACAAAGAGAAATCAGACTTTATAAGGCTTTTAGTTGGCATTACATTAAAAGATGAAGACTTTATTTCCCTAAAAGATTTTTCGACTAACAGACAGAGTACTATGACTGAAGTATTTCTTATACCGGGTATTGATGGATGTGGCAGTGTATTTAAAACCATAGTACCATATATAAAATTTTCAACATCTATATTAAATTATAATACAAACGACATCGATTCTACAAACGTGATATTAGAAACGACTAATCATCTTACAAACGTATGCAATCGTATTAGTAATTTTATTTTATGTTGACAAAGAATTGTTTTTATTGGTTTGAAAGATATAATTTTCATTCAATACTTTTTATGTTTTTACAGTATATACTTTCAGTGCTGACAGATGGAAAAGATTTTGTAATAGTAGGGTATTCTTTCGGATCCCTTATCGCAATTGAAGTAACGAGAAGATTAGAAGCAATGAATTTTAAAGGACGACTCGTTTTCATTGATGGAGCTCCTGAGCCTTTCCAAACATTGTTCAAGCCGTTTGAATCAGATTTTGATGATCCAAATTTTCAGATTGATATCTTAACTAATATTATGGAATTATATTCAGCAGGAAGTTCTGAAGAGGTATATGCAACTTTCACTTTGAACATATTCTTACATTAAGATCAATTTACGGGTTATTTATAATATATTATATTTTAGTTTTCATTATGTAAATTAGTAAATCCTTGTTCTGCCTTATACGGTCTTATACATAAAAATGAAAATATATATATTTTCTTAGATTGTAATGGAATTAAAAAAATGTGAGACCTGGGATGAAAGATTAACTATTGTTGCTAAACAATTTTCAACTATGTACACATATCTTTCACTTACAAATATAAGAACGCTGTGTACAACAATTTACAAACATTTATCCGCTCTCCAAGAATATGATTCTTCTATTTTACCACCTATTAAGACTCCCATAATATTATTAAAATGTACATCCCCATTTAATGTACCAATGATTGAAGAAGATTATGGTTTGCATAAGGTATTCCAAAAAATTTGCTGTAATCTGTACTGAATAAACCAGATTTGACCAAACTTTTTATTAATTATGTATGTAATTATTTTAGGTAACTCAAAATGTGGTAAAAGTACATTGCATTGAAGGTGATCATACGACAGTCTTGAAGAATGAAAAAGTGACGGCTGCAATCAACGGAGAATTACCATTTACAGTTTGATGTATTAATTTCTAACAAGGGGAGGACCAAGGTGACTCACCCTGGGATTTCAATCCCAATTTTTTTGGTGATTCTAGAGGTGAAAAAAAAAGACCCGTGTCCCGGCGTTTGATTAAATAGTTTCTGATAATGAATAATAAATTTGTGAATATTATTTTAATGATACTGATATATATTATTACATAATTCAAATTCAATTATTTCGATGCGGAACAACCACTTGGATGATAAACATCATGAAAACGTTTAAAGCATATAAATTTTTTACAGTTTGCACAATGAATAAATGAAGGAGTACCACATACACATTTATTTTTCCATAAGTCCGGAGGGAAACATATTTCGTTGACGTTTCCAAACTCGACCTTACGAATTACGAGGCAAGCGTCTGATTCACGGAGCCAATCACATTGGTTGGAAGCATCGCTACCGGAAAGGTTCATACAGTACTGTATACAACACTGCGACGCGGCGCGCTTCGGATATGGCCAATATTCACAAATTTATTACTCACAAACTAAGGCCTATTCAATCAAACGCCGGGACACGGCTCTTTTTTTTTCACCTCTAGAATCACCAAAAAAATTGGGATTGAAGTCCCAGGGTGAGTCACCTGGTCCTCCCCTTGTAAGCATATTATAAGACAAAATTTGACAAACAGGTAGCAATCAGCGCAAAAAATATTTCGAACGTCTTTTATGAGTTCAAATTACAATAGAAAAAGTGTAAATTTGACCATTAATGACACAAGTCGGCTAATACATCTGTTTTTATTTGTGAGTTTTTCAGCTACTCATGTTTTTAAATAAATTTTGATACGTCATAGAACTGATGGAATCAAAATGCAATACTAATTACTTATATAATAAAAATTGTAAGATATATATCTTACAATTTTTATTATATTACAAAACAAAAGTTCAGTTGGTATATGTGATATAATTTTAATAAGTAACTAGTATTGCATTTTGATTCCATCAGTTCTATGACGTATCAAAATTTATTTAAAAACATGAGTAGCAGAAAATCTCACTAATAAAAACAGATGTATTAGCCGACTTGTGTCATTAATGGTCAAATTTACACTTTCTCTATTGTAATTTGAACTCATAAAAGACGTTTGCAATATTTTTTGCGCTGATTGCTACCTGTTTGTCAAATTTTGTCTTATAATATGCTTAGAAATTGGGTTTGAAAAAACCCGGGTTTCTTTTTTAAAACCCACCTCGGTCGGGTTTTATCGGGTTTTATTGGGTTTTATTAGATTATTCGTGTTTTCAAGTTCCACTTTGTTTGAAGTTAAATGTAAGGAAAACAATTTAGCAGCCATATTATAGCATATAATTTTTTATCAATAATCAAGGCCGTCTCCGGGCAGGTCGTGGCATCGTTTTATTCTTAAGAAAGAATTTGCAATTTTTTTTAGCAGTACTTTAACACCTCGTAAAGTGCTTCAAATTGACATTTTTTAATAGAAGAGATCATAACCAATCAGTTGGTATCGATCAGAACAGAGGCATGGTCATTTATTAATTCTTTTATGATTTTGAATCCTTGATTGAAAGTTTTTATAAACTTTATACTGCTGTTGCATTTTTGTTGAGAAGCGGCGTCCGACTCAAACTTAAAAAATCGTTAAAAAGTAATAAAACCTCGTCTCTCTGTTTTCATCTATACCAACTGGTTGGTTATGATCTCCTCTATTCAAAAATATCAATTTGAAGCACTTTACGGGATGCCAAAGTAGTGTGGAGCAAATTACAAAACAGGCTAGGATTCGAGAAAGCAACAAAACTTGTTAAAGTTTATCGTTATTTGCGTTCCATTGATGACAACTTATTAACCATCGATTGGTCTTAATTTAAATTACAATTTTGTTTTTTATTTGTAACTTTTGAGTTTAATTCTTTTTAAATAAAAATATATAACAATAATAAGTTAATTTTGAATTAATTTAGGTATCATGGTACTGTATCTTTTCTTCGACAATTGATCATACTTTGTTACTTCCAATAAAAAAAGTTGACTGGGTTTTTCTGTGGTTTTTTTCAGGTGGGCCCAACCCAATAAAACTCATTGGGTTTTATTGGGCTGGGCCCACCTCGGCAAACCCTGAGTCGTAAAATTTATTTCCCAAAAATTGGCGTTCAAAAGACACTTACGCTTATTTCCGAGTCATTAAACTACAATGTACATACATTTTATAAAAAATGAATTTCTAGAAATTTGGTATCGCAGCAGAGAATTATAATCTAATTTTCTCACCCTTCTAAAGTCTATATAAAGTCTTTAAAGTGACTTTTTAATAAATTTTTTGCAATATAATGTTACGTCAAGCAACAGTAGTTTAAATTAAAACAAAATACATATATTGTAATATTCAAAAATACTAATTTTTTAAATTGTTTCTAATTTAAGAAAAGATAATATATAGTAGATACAAAACTAAAAGTCAGAGTTAAAACTCTATTAACTTTTAAAGATAGCCGAATATTAGTCTTCAATAATTTTTTCTCAAATGCTATTAACTTCACCGAAAAATAGCAAGAGATAAAAATTGTTTGTTTTCTTCTCATAAAGTTCTGAAAATATTTTCAGAATTTTTTCAGAATTTTTGAATACTGTATTTCTTATGTTGGTAAAAATAGTTCCCAATAAGAAAATGCAGTACTAAAAAATTCTGAAAAAAATTTTAGAGTTCTATGAGAAGAAGATATACAATTGTTGTCCCTTGCAGTTTTTCTGTTGATGGCATTTGAAAAAAAAATTATTAAAGACCAATATTCGCTAAATAAAAATTAATATTTTTTAATATTAATATCTCATTATAACCATTGCGAAATTTGTAAAGTGATACAGGACTTTTCGACTCAGTTTAGTCCGCTCTACCTACAGGAAAGCGATTGGAAGAAACTTTCGAGACACCCTGTATATTTGAACGAATAAAATGAGAGATGCCGGAAACAGTACTTAAGAAGTTATCTGTATATACTTCTTACTTTTAATGTAATGACTATATAAAATTTCTTGCTAAATACGTTTCATACAGAAGTATTTACTATCTTATACGAGACTTTATGTTAAAACTTTTGATACACTGTATCAGATAAGTATGGTGTCAGTGCTCCGTTCGCTCTAATGACAAAGTTCACGAAACATTCACATTCGTCATAACACGGCGATGACTCGTAAATCCTTTGCTGGTTCCTTTGAAGACATTATGTTTGGAAGTATTATTCATATCATTTCGTGTTTTAAGGAAATTTTGAGATTTTTTAAGTAACGCAACTTATTCACCTTTATCATAATAAATAACTATAAATAATTTTCTTTTCATTGATATACAAATATATTATTAGCATTGTCCAAAAAGAACAAAAAGTTATTATGAGATCACAATAGTAGTAAATAAATCCTAAATGACTATTTCTCAATTATTTATATTTCAATTAAATGTGAATAAAAATTTTAACGTTATCGTGACTTGTCATTGTACCTACTCTTAGGTGATTGCAATTTTAAACATAATTCATACATGAATAATTGAAATATTTATTTTCGGAACATGAAACATCGCTTCCACATATCTAGGGATCAATAAACAAAGTGATACGACTTATTTAAAATAAAAAATTTAAGAATAATATTAAATCCTTTTAGCTCGATATAAACCATTAATTTATTTAATTTACTTTGCAAAAAAAATAAGCGAAATTTATTAATTTAAATTTTGATGTTGAAGATATACCTATTAAAGAAATTATCCTAATATGAAGGAAATCTATAAAAAATCCGAAATAAATCGGTAGTCTAATAACTCAGGACGCTTGCACGTAATGTGAAGTCTAATCTATATCGATCGATCGCAGCATCGCAAGTGTTATTAAAATTGATGCATCAGATTGGCTGACACAAGTATATAACCTGAGACACCTGTATACGAAACGACCAATATATTGTATTATATTAGGTCTTAGATATCCGAGTCTCAACTGAGATATTTTTCCACAATAAAAAAATTTATTTACATATTTTTAGCACATTAAGACTTCTTTAACAGATGTCTCATAGACATTAAAATTTAATTGTAATTTCATTTCAAAATTCGCAATGAATTATTTCAGCTAAAAATTCAGTTTCTATCGTTATGGCTGTTCCTATTTCTCATTGATTATGTTCTCCCATATACAGTTAATAATGAGATTTTTATTGTATAAAATAAATTTCAATAATTTATTTAAAAAATAAAATAAGAACAACGTATTTTAAATAAAATTTTCAAATGCAAAATAGCTCTTCATGGTTTTGTTTATTTGAATGTACATTAAATATTTTCGCATATTTAATTATAACTGAATCATACATATAACAATAATATAGAAAAATACAATTACTCATAATATATAGAAACGTGAACAGATCTTCCGAGTTTAGAAGAAATAAAATAGATTTAAATTAAATTAAATATACAGAAATAAATTAAAATTAGAAATAGATCAAATTATATAAAAAGTTATTTAAAATAATATCCTAATAAACGAGAATGGATTTAAATGGAGATTAAAATAGTTTCAAATTTTCAAAAATATGTATTGTTGAATGTTAAAATTAATGCTTTTCAATCCAAATGTATTTTTATTTATTTATACAAGTTGAATGAAGCACATTTCTATGTCTTTCAATCTAAAAAAGATATTAATTAGCCTTCTTGTATCTTGTATACTTCTCAGTTAAAAATTTTTAATAAGAAATGCAGCTGTTGAATCCATTTGAATCCAGTTAAATTCAATTAGATTCAGTTGAGACTACCTAAATCCAATTGAATACAATTAAATAATAAAAAAAATAAAACATAAAAATAGCTTTTATTTAAAATATGTTGCATTTGGATGTATAATATTTTTAATTATTTATTGGATAAATATTATAAGTAATTATTTTATTTTATATTATTTTAAAAATACATATTTTTTAAAATGTTATTTTACATACAACCGTCTCTTGCATAGAGTTGTCCTTTTCTTTCCCATACTCTTCTCCATTTCTCTCACTCTATCACTGTCTCTTTTTTTTTTTCTTTATCTTTTTCTCTTGCACTTAAACGGAAATGCTTTAAATTACAAAGATGCAGAAGTCAATGTTTTATAACTCGACATACACTGCCAAAAGTTTAAGTTCACAAATAAAATTTACAGATATTCCAACAAATAAATACTACATTAAACTTTGATTCATGCCATACTCAAAGCATAAAGAGTAGCTATTTTGACAAAGGTATTTAATATTCATTAAAATTTGTTTTGTAAATAATATGTTATATAGAATATCAAATATTAAATATTTTTTTATTTTATTATAAAAAATAGCGTGTAAAATAATACAAATATTTTATAATCTATAAATTTGGTTTTCTTTTATATAAAGAATATAATTTTTAGTTAATTAACGCGGTCTTAAACTTTTAGCCGGCAGTGTAGCAGAAACCATAATATAAAGGTAAGATAATAACAACTTGATGCAACATATTATAAGAGTTTATATAAAGAGTGGTGTGTCAATAAACCGTTCAGTTCTTTGTCATCTGCAACTCAAAGGTAGTGATATTACGAATATCAAAGCAGGTATAAAATAACAACATAAGTAAACAAAGTAAAAAGTATTTTTTATATGT